TCCGTAAGGCGAGAGTTGACTGTATCGTTAATGTTCAATACGAAAATGTACATTCATCTCACGCCTTACAGACACCCCGCTATTACGGACACCTCGATATTACGGACACGAAATACTGARTCCCCGGMAAGAAATACAAAGAAATGACTGAAAGTAACTCTCGTTACTACGGACTCTCGCTACTGCGGACACTAATTTACAGTCCCGAGAGTGTCCATAATAGCGAGAGTTGACTGTATATCGTTTTATAGGAATGACTTCAATACATTGAGTTTCATATTTTTCTGTTGTTTGAGTGTGATTTTAAGACAGCATTAACTTACAGTGATAGAATTCTTCATTTGGTTACATCATTTCTATTTTTAGAACATGCCGGGATGGTGTCTCTTTACCTGCGGAGATTGTTGAAGAATGTAGCATTCTGGACCAGACCGTTGGATCAGCCATGAAAGATTTTAAGGTACATGAGTTTGCTACCACTGTGAGTGGAAACTCTTATAGAATTAAGAATAACCCTATAGTCTGGATTAGACACTACAATCTAAATTTTGAGGGAATAAGTATAGGAGATGTTTTAAAGCTCTATCTTAGGGGGGTACCTAGAGGTATAAGGGTCAATGAGGGGGGACTTGTTTTGATGTTTGCCTCAAAGATGGATAAGGGGGTACTACCAGGGGGAAAGGACATTTTGTTGCACTGAAGGGAATGAATGGCACAATCATACTGTACTGATTATGTGACTTATGTCAAGGCAAAGAGTGTGTATTGGTACCAAGGGGTGCATAAACTGCTGTTCTCTCATGATTAATACACTGTGTTCATAGATTGGTATTGGTGTTGCTGCTGCATTGGCTGTTCTTCTCATCTGCTCTGTTTGCTTCTTGTATTGCAAGAACAGAAAGTATGTTATATTGTTTATTTACTGATAATGACCGATAGTTCCTTGGGATATCCATTAAGATGAATGGATGAATGAATTGATAAGTGAATATACGGATGAGAAAATGGAGAGATTGACTGACAGCTTTATGGATAGATGAGAGATTGACTGACAGCTGAAAAGATGAGAGATTGAGTGAATGAAAGAATGGGAAAAAACGAAAGAACGGACGATTGCTTATTATTGATATTGTTAAGCTAATATGTAGTATAATCCATTGATTCCAGACTAACATACAAGTACAGTCGTCTTGTACAAAATGGTACTGGTCACCCGGACGAACTCCCGCATGTTGAGAAATGTGGTATGGACGACGACGAAGAAGACGAAGATGAAGAGGTACAAAATTTATACTCACAGTATGACGTCACATGTAACGTCACGCATTCTTTATCTGTAACGTCACGCATTCTTTATCTCTAACGTCACGCATTCTTTATCTCTAACGTCACGCATTCTTTATCTGCAATGTCACGCAATCATTATCTGTAACTTCACTGTGACATTTGTTCATCTTCTTCCACTTGTTTTTTCGAAGGTTATGTTTAAACGCGGAGCTAAAGAACGTGGTAAAAAGATCCTTAAGAGTCTGAGAGGTTTGGCTTCCAAGGGTCGTAAGCATGTAAGTACCTTTCGTCACTGTTRTTAGTCTCTTTCCCAGTTCCCTTCGGCCATCTTGAAACGAGCCATGACGAGTCAAGGGGTGACCTACGTAGCACGCAGTTGATGTAATGTATTCATAAAATGTATTGTATTCCATTGTTTCTCGTTCTATTGTATTATGTGTTTTGTATTATATCTTTATGAATATATTACATCAACTAAGTGCTACGTAGATTCTCCCGACGAGTCAAAGCAAGACGACTGGTGGGCGCAACCTCATTCCCAGGCCCTTATCCCGCCTAACCTCGAGCGAAGGGATAAAGTTCCTGGGAACGAGATTGTGGTGGKCGTACAATTATAAAAACCTTCTTACTAAATAAAATCACTGGTTATTATTGTCAAGTATCGTTGTAAGCTCACAGGTTGTTGTGCTTCGAGGCAAAGGTACTCAAGTGTTACTCCTCTAGATTACACAGAGACTAGTGAGATAGGAAGTGGAAAAATGGAAAAAAAGATGAATGAGTATTAGACGTTATTTTCAAATTCGTTTCTCTAACGCCTTTGTTTTCTAAAAAGGATAAAGTTACGTTCGACGACGAAGATGACGGCGGAGATGAGGAATACTTCGAATCTGTGCAGCTCGAGGCCGTGAGAGAGTCWTCAGACAGGTTTTAAAACGAGTTTAACTGTATTAGTTAAGACTGGATTGACCTGTTTGACCTCTGGAAACACCGCGGTATATTATTCAATGAATAAAGTGTCACTCTTCGAAACAAAATTATATTCCACGCAATCCAAAAAAGGCAATTCTTCGATTTGCTGCCTACTGAATAAGGTTTGAAAAAGAAACTAAATCTATTCCTTTCACAGATAATAAGCCAGTATTTTCATTCGAGATTTGTCCCTGAATATGCGACTTATAACAATGTGAAAAAAATAATATAATGAAGGGATTAAACCCTTAATGTCATTTTCACGGGTTTAGTGGCTTCAGTGACTTTTTCAGTAAACAGTGTACATAGATCCTAGGACAGCCTTTATTTAAATATATAAGCTAAAACAATAATCCAGTTTCGAATTCTCCAATGCTCTGTGTTAGCCTCATTTGTGCGCAAAATATTCCTTATTGTGAGAATAAAGTGTGAGATTTCAAATCAATTCTATTGTCTTCTTTTCAAATTCCATGCGTTTTCTCGGGCTCTGAATAAAACAAAAGAATATGTTACACAGAGCAAACCAGAACTCGAAACTTGGAGTATTAATGTTAAAGAGGTTTAGGCAAAAACCGGTAAAGCATGTGCTTGGCAAATAATAGCTGAGTTCTAAAGTCTCTTTCTTTGCTTTCCCCCCTAGTTTTGTGTATTCTGATAAGTTGCGTTTCTTTCCTCATGTGCCTGCGTTGTTCCTTGTAAAATATGGTGGTTTTGTTTGTTCTTTTTCCCTCTTCTCCTTCCATACTTCATTTTCTCTCTATTCTTATTCTCCCCTTCAGCTTGTTCGTTTTCGTTTTCTTTACCTCTTCTGCTGTTTTTCCTTCGCACTTCGCAACCTTTGAACTCTGCAACCTCCTATTAAAATTCTTATTTTCTCCTCCGTAATGACGACTTCAACTCAGCTCCTTACCGATTTTTACAAATCATTCAGTAAGACAGCATTCAATTTTGCATGCTCTGTAGTTTAGTAAGACGGAATCATGGATTTTCAAAAGTCAAGAAAGTAATACATAGAAATAAGTGAATCGTTTTAAGTAAAATCGAGGTCGAAAGTGGGAAGCGGATGATGACGTGATACATCCACTGTTTGCGCCTCCTCCGCTCCTCGTATTTTCTTTCTTGGGATTCCTTTGTACATACTAGAGCGGACTGGGACTCTCTTCTTGACCCAGGTATTCTCACCATTATATACAAAGGAAACCCATGAGATAATCTTAGTAATGTCTGCTAATAAGGCAAGACGACGACATCGGCTTAAAACGAACATTAAATTATTATCAATAGAAGTAGAGACTTGTAATACAGTTACGATTTACGATAGATATCGTTCTCGTTTTCTATGCGTACCAATTCGACTCTAAACCTGGAATTTTAATGATTAAATTAAAAAATATATATTTGTTAAATACACTAGCTTAATGAACAAGTACACAAGCAATTGCCCTAGTTCATTATGACGTCACATCAAAACATTCTTTTGTTTTAACGCCAAGGATTATGGTCGCAAGAAGGGATCAGAGTGACTGCATATCAAATAAAATGTACATGAATAATCATTTATACATGATATATATCAAAACACGATTCATTGAAGTTTTACTTTAGTAGAAAATATAAATGCGTCCAAATTTCCACTGTTTTTGAGCATTGTTTTCCGATGTAAACATACTGTGACGTCATAATGAAATAGGGCAATTGATGTAAGAAAAACAGTTGAAATTAGACAAAASTAGAAAAGAACTTTTTACTTGAYCTCAAGGAGTYGTCAAAAAGCGCTCTAGTAGACGTTTTSTAGAAACATCGAGGTCAAGTAMAAGGTTGGATACAATGGGGTTCACTTTATTGGAAGTAACACTCTTTGTGTCCTCACTTCGATGCGTGACAACAGCATAAGCGGCTGCTAAAGAAGACCGCTGTACTATCGTAGAACRACAAATGCTTTGGTTATTATCATATACGTGCAGCGACGCCATTTTGTGCAGCAAAGCATGATGGGAGTTTTAGTTCCCGGGCTTTTTCAAGTCCGACAAACATACTTCCTAAGCCGTTTTCCTTTTTCTTGACAAAAAAGGAGTTACACTGTGTCTGCAAAGAAAACACAAAAATGGCTTTTATGGAGATTTATAAAAATTTTCGATATATACGCGCGCTTTGATTGGCTGACGACCGTGTTTATATCAGAGGACAGAGACGCGCGCCGTTTTATATTTCTTAATATAAGGTTATAAAAAGGTTATAAAGTTATAAAACTACGAGGGCTATAGCTCCCATCGTGGTGTATAGAGTTGCAGTTGCATGGTTAAGTGTTTGTATTTGGATAGTTAAGTTAAGGTTATGTTAGATTTTAAGTTTTGTTCATATGCACTCTTAAATAGTAGAATCATCTGTGTAATAATAAAATAGCATTAACTAGACATAGTGTCACGTGTCATGACCACGGGATTTCCGTTGATGTCGTGTAAATCGGTGTATCTGTTGCATCATGGGGAATTTCTGCAATACATTTTCGAAATTTTCAAGCGAGAATGTTTACCAAATTACTAGAGAAACATACTGAACAATTCATAATGAATTTCGACTTCTTAAGTTCGAAAAAAAGATCGAGACCTTCCTGCCCCGTTATTGCGTCCCCTTAGCAACAAACACGTGATAAATGGGATAGGTGTTATGTACGTAACTCAGAACGTCATGTCCATTTGGTCAAACTGAATTAAAAGTTTACTCGCTTTTCCAACAAAATTTTGGGTTGTTTTTTCAAAAAAAATTGTTAAAAAAACGACAAATCAAGCTACCTAGCGCCTAGAAAAGTATATGAAGGCATTGATGCAGATTTGTAAAGGTAAAGGCTTCACGAAAAAAAAAAAATAGCCAATTCACTTCGTCAAGAACATACGCGAGTATCAGAACAGATATATATAGCGACGAGGTATACACCAAGCCAGTTTGAATATCGGTAGCTGATAAAAACAGATAATGAATAAGGTATGATTCCTCCTGTTGTAAAATACATTTACAAGAAAATTTAAGCAGAGTTTTTTCGAACCTTTATTGCCAAGCTAGCAGACAATTAAATGCCGGATCCCTTGGCAGGTGCAAGATATATAACATGGTTTTATGTCTTGACTTAGAATACATTATTAGCAAGAGTTTAACATTGCAGAAAGAGATCTTAATTAACAAAGTACTATATGAATTCAATCAGTAGAATCCATGGCCACTGTCAATGGTAGGAAAAACTGGACATGGTTTAAATGGATAAATGGTATGATATGGTTTAACCAACGGTACGTACCTCGTCCGCTTAGTACTTGTTACCAAGCTACCAGACAGTCCGCACTACTTATCCAGATCAACTTTGTAGGTTTCTTTCGACAAAAACGATATATTAGTTGAGACTTTTGAGAGAGAGAAACGTCCGAAAACCTTAAAGTTTATTCAAGCTATAATCTTTCAGCATTGACTCAAGATTTTRGTAAAAATGAACAACTCCAGTTCTGTTTTCCAGTGTCCGCTTACAGATCCAATCACGTGGCATCCGTCGTTCACCAACAGAGCAGCAAACATCTCCAGTATTTCTGCCGTAGTCGTCCAGTGTTTGRTKATACCGTTTATTTTATTATTTAATGGAATAACTCTCCTTCTTGTAGCAAAGTTTTCAGACTTGCAAAAGCCTCGGTTTGTAGCCTTTGGTCTGCTTTCGGTTACAGATTTCTTAAGTGGTGTGGTGGCTCAGCCTCTTCTTGTTGCTAAAGAACTGGATCATTCATTGAACAAACATGTGAACTGCGAGCTCGATAGCGGATTCTTTCTTAGCAGCTTCTTGTTATCTCACGCTTCTTTTTATCAGTTAGCTTTTCTCACATATGAGAGATATGTTGGCATCATCGATCCCCTCCACTACCCATACCGCATCACTGTACCAAAACTACTTTGCGCAGCCGTAGCCAATTGGTTGATTCAGATCTCTATTTATGTGATAATACAAACGTCTTCAACACGAAGCATCCTCTTCGTTACTGTACCCATTCTTGTAATTGTGGTTTTGTTTTGYATTTTGTATTGGTACATTAAGATATTTCAAATATTGAAAACACACCAGCAGGTGACTCTTGCACAACAGCAAAATGTTCCTCAGGCATCCGCCTTGGGMCAGCATATGGCAAACCGCAAATCGTGTATYACAGCTACGTATCTTGTTATMGGKTTTGGTTTGAGCTTCTTTCCAATAATCACCAGCACTTTACTTGTATCATACTATGGCCCTGATATCAGASGACCTTTGTACTTTGCTATTCTTCCATGGGTAAGCCTATGTGTTCATTTGAACTCTCTTTTCAGTCCTCTTTATTACGGATTTCGCACTGCTGAATTCCGTAAATTTGTCCGTAAGTTTTTTGGTTTTCCGCCGGCCAACGATGTTGCTCCCTTGCCATTAGAAATGCAACCATCCTGCAATACCCATCTATGAAGCATCTCAAACGGCATCTTCATCGAGCGCTGTTATACCTACACCTCTGCACAGGGAAGGACCAGCCACGCCATTAGCGGGTTAGCTTGAAAGAGCAATGGAAGGTACAAAGACGATAGCTGGCCTGAAAAAGGTGAAAAACTCGTTAAAAAAACGACAACACGACAGGCTACCGGGCGCTTAGAAAAGTATATGAAGGCATTGATGCAGATTTGCACATGGCAAAGACTTC